GGGGGGGGGGGGGGCTCCAGCCCCAGATCTGGCTGCCCTTCAATGTGTCAGGACAGTTCCTTCCATGGGGGATTCCCCTGTTACCACCTCCATGTCCTTACATTTAGCCGACTTTTCTGCATTCCTTTTTAATTTTTTTATTTTAAACAAAGCGTTTTGGGTGAGTAACCAGCTGTTTGAGTTTCCGATTGGCAGGTTAATCACTTCCTATTCGCTGATCTGGAGAACTTTTCTCCCCCTTGGAAATGGCACATTCCTGTCTTTGTGGCTTCTCTGTTTACACACATTTTGCTACCTAATGTCAACACTTGCTAATGAATAAATATATCACTCCACTCACTGAAAATGAGGTCCTGGCCTGGCAGAATGACTGCTTAAATCCGGTGAACAGATTTATTCCAGTATCTCTGCAGGAAACCCAAGAAAATGTAACCCTTTTCTCCTACGGTTTTAGGTTTCTGGGAACATTTACCCCCAGTTGTCTTTACCCCTGGGGTCAAGGTGACTGGTCTGTCTCTTTTAAGGAAAACCTCCGAATTTGAAGACTATGGAAGAAAAAGCAAAAACAGGACAGAGGTGGCCCTTGGAGAGCTAACCTCATGAAAGAATTCTTGAATCTTGAAGCCAAAAATCCAGTCAAGTTATTCTTTGAGAAAACAGAGTTTGGTAATTTCAGTTAACATTTGTTACAAATACAGAGAGCTGGTTATCTCCTCATTAATGACCATTTTATCTGGTGTTTTGTAAATCGAAAGCAAAATATCACATGCTTTGCAGGCCACTTATTAGACAGGCACCAGGCAAGCAGCAACGCCTTCCCGACTTGAGGGAGCGGCGTGGAGTCCCGGGAGGGCTGTGGGCTTCGGTTACACCGTTCATTAAAGTATTTAATTTATGACAACGCCCCAGCAAAACTTTTAATTAGTGGGGGGGAAAGCCCAACAGCCAAAACTCATGAGGCGGAAGGACTTGTAGAATTCCAAGAGCGAAATGAGGCCCAACCCTTCACTTCTCTCCGAACCTTGGCAAAAAATAACACTATTTTTCAAGCATCAAAGTTTCAAAGTTACAATCCCTACTTTCCAGCTAATGAATCTCCCACTGTAAGAAGGGGCTCCTGGACACAGGGGCCATCCCAGTTGTCACCCCAAGTCCCAGTTTTGCTGACCCTCTTCCCCCTGGCACTGTTAGCTCCATAGGGTGAGCCCGGCACTGCCAGCCAGAAGTTGGATGCAAACAATCACAACAGGGCTGGTGCCAGTCTCAAATGAGCTCTTGCCCTGGCCCCATGCCATCCAGTGACAAAGCAACAGGGCAGGCAGAGCTATGCTAAAAACTTTTATAGCCCCAACCTAGAATTCTGAGAAAATCCGGGAGGAGTGCTGACTTGCAGGGGAGGGAGAAGAGGAAACCCGTGAGGATGGTTTTGTCTTGACTTCTTAAATTTTCTAACCTTTTACTCCAAACAAAAGTCTTCTCTGCACCCTTTTAAACTGTCTTCCCTTCCATTGAATTATCC